ATAGTGGGTGATCTGAACACCCTTCTCTCAGTATGGGACAGATCTTCCAGGCAACAATTCAACAAAGAGACACAAGATTTAATCTATACCCTAGACCAACAGGACTTGGCAGATATATACAGAACATTTCATCCAACAACTAAAGAATACACTTTCTTCTCATCAGCTCATGGTACATTCTCCAGGATAGATCACATATTAGGTCACAAATCTCGTCTCAGCAAATTTTGAAAAAGTGAAATCATTCCAATTATCTTTTCAGACCACAATGGACTAAAATTGGAAATAAACAATAAGCAAAACTCTGGAAGCTATACAAATACATGGAAACTAAATAATAGGCTCCTGAATGACCTATGGGTCCAAGAAGAAATTAAACAGGAAATCAAAAAATTTCTAGAAACTAATGAAAATAAAGATACATCATACCAAAACTTGTGGGATACTGCAAAAGCAGTACTACGAGGCAAATTTATTGCAGTAAATGCTTATATCAAAAAATTGGAAAGACTTCAAATAAATGACCTAACACTATGCCTCAAAGAACTTGAAAAACAAAAACAATCCAAACCTAAAGGCAGTAGACAGAAAGAAATAATTAAGATCAGAGCAGAACTAAATAAAATAGAGACCCCAAAAACAATAAAAAAAGATCAGCAAAACAAAAAATTGTTTTTTCAAGAAGATAAATAAAATGGACAATCCATTAGCTAGGTTAACAAAAAAAAAAAAAGAAGAGAGAAGACCCAAATAACAAAAATCAGAAATGAAAAGGGAGACATTACAACCGATACCACAGACATACAAAGAATCATTAGAGACTATTATAAACAACTGTATGACAACAAATACAAAAATCTGGAAGATATGGATAAGTTCCTAGACACATACAAATTACCAAGACTGAACCAAGAAGAGATGATAGAAAACCTGAACAGACCAATAACAAGCAAGGAGGTTGAAGTGGTAATTAGCAATCTTCCAACAAAGAAAAGTCTTGGTCCGGATGGCTTTACAGCTGAGTTCAATCAAACTTTTCAAGAGGAGTTAACACCAATTCTCCTCAAACTATTCCAAACAATTGAAACAGATGCTACTCTCCCAAACTCATTCTATGAGGCCAACATAACTCTGACACCAAACCCGATAAAGACACAACAAAAAAAGAAAATTACAGGCCAATATCCTTGATGAACCTTGATGCTAAAATCCTCAACAAAATATTAGCGATCAGAATACAGCAACATATTTAAAAAATTATACACTATGATCAAGTGGGATTCATCTCAGGGATGGAAGGATGGTTCAACATACAAAAGTCAATAAATGTGATACATCACATCAACAAACTCAAGGACAAAGACCATATGATTATCTCAACAGATGCTAAAAAAGCATTTGGCAAAATTCAACATCTGTTCATGATAAAGACTCTCAACAAATCAGTTATAGAAGGAAAATATCTTAACAAAATAAAAGACATTTATGACAAGCCCACTACCAGTATCATTCTGAATGGGGAAAAACTGAAGGCCTTTCCCTTAAGAACAGGAAAAAGATAAGGATGCACACTCTCACCACTTCTATTTAACATAATACTTGAGGTACTAGCCAGAGCAATCATACAAGAGAAAGGAATAAAGGGAATCCGGGTTGGAAAAGATGAAGTCAAATTCTCTCTATTTGCAGATGACATGATGCTGTATTTAGAAAAACCTAAAGATTCTATCAAAAAACTCCTAGAGCTGGTTATAACTTCAGTAACATTGCAGGATACAAAATAAATGCCCCCAAATCAGTAGCATTTATATACCAAAATAATGAGTTAACAGAAAGAGAAATAAAGAAAGTAAGCCCATTTACAATTGCCACACAAAAAAATGATATCTATGGATCAATTTAACCAAGGAGATGAAAGACCTCTAGAATGAGAACTACAAACCACTTTTGAAAGAAATCAAAGAAGACACAAAAAGATGGAAAGATATTCCATGGTCTTGGATTGGGAGAATTAACACTGTGAAAATGTCTATACTACCTAAAGTGATCTACAGATTCAATGCAATCCTTATCAAAATACCAATGAAATTCTTCACAGAAATGGAAAAAACAATCTTACCTTTCATATGGAAAAACAGAAGACCCCAAATAGCCAAAGTAATCTGAGTAAAAAAAATAAAGCTGGAGGCATAACACTACCTGACTTTGAATTATATACTACAAAGCTATTGTAACCAAAACAGCATGGTCCTGGTATAAAAATAGACATTCAGACCAGTGGAGTAGAATTGAGAACCCAGAAATCACCCCGCAGGCCTACAGCCATCTGATATTAGACAAAGGCAACAAAAATCTACATTGGGGAAAAGATTGCCTCTTCAACACGTGGTGCTGGGAAAACTGGAGATCCATAAGCAGAAGAATGAAACTAAATATGAATCTCTCACCTTACCCTAAAATCAACTCAAAGTGGATTAAAGACTTAAGTATAAGACCTGAAACTGTAAAAATACTAAGGGAAAATATAGGTGAAACACTTCAGCAATTATGTCTGGATACCGGCTTTATGAACATGAGCCCAAAAGGAAAAGCAGCAAAAGAAGAAATAAACAAATGGTACTATATCAAACGAACAAGTTTCTGCACAGCAAAAGAAACAATCAACAGAGTGAAACGACAACCTACAGAGTGGGAGAAAATTTTTGCTAACTATGCATCCGACAAGGGTTTAATATCCAGAATATACATAGAACCCAAGCAATTATACAGTAAAAAAAGACCCAATTAAAAAATGGGCAAAGGAGCTGAATAGACATTTTTTAATTGAAGACATAAAAATGGCCAACAGATACATGAAAAAAATGCTCAATATCACTAGTCATCAGGGAAATGCAAATTAAAACTACTTTGAGATACCACCTCACCCCAGTTAGACTGGCTATAATCAAAAAGACTATGAATAACAAATGCTGGCGAGGGTGTGGAGAGAAGGGAACACTCCTACACTGTTGGTGGGACTGTAAATTGGTACAATCATTGTAGAAAATAGTATGGAGTTTTCTTAAACAACCACAGATAGATCTTTCATACGATCCAGCAATACCTCTTCTGGGTATGTACCCAGAGGAATGGAAATAATCATGTCCAAGTGATACCTGCACTCCCATGTTCATCGCAAAAAAATAAACAAATGGGACTATATCAAACTAAAAAGCTTCTGCACAGGAAAAGGAAACAATCAACAGAGTGAAAAAACAACCTACAGAGTGGAAGAAAATTTTTGTTAACTATGCATCCGACAAGGGTTTAATATCCAGAATATACATAGAACCCAAGCAATTATACAGTAAAAAAAGACCCAATTAAAAAATGGGCAAAGGAGCTGAATAGACATTTTTCAATTGAAGACATAAAAATGGCCAACAGATACATGAAAAAAATGCTCAATATCACTAGTCATCAGGGAAATGCAAATTAAAACTACTTTGAGATACCACCTCACCCCAGTTAGACTGGCTATAATCAAAAAGACTATGAATAACAAATGCTGGCGAGGGTGTGGAGAGAAGGGAACACTCCTACACTGTTGGTGGGACTGTAAATTGGTACAATCATTGTAGAAAATAGTATGGAGTTTTCTTAAACAACCACAGATAGATCTTTCATACGATCCAGCAATACCTCTTCTGGGTATGTACCCAGAGGAATGGAAATAATCATGTCCAAGTGATACCTGCACTCCCATGTTCATCGCAGCTCTTTTTACAATAGCCAAATGTGGAACCAACCTAAATGTCCATTGATGGGTGATTGGATAAGGAAACTGGTATATATATATATACCAGTTTCCTTATATATATACATACACACACATATACATACACACACACACACACACAAACACACACACATATATATATACCATCAAATACTTCTCTGCCATAAAAAAGAATGAAATACTCCCATTTTCAACAACATGGATGAACCAGGAGAAAATTATGTTGAGTGCAATAAGCAAAGCACAGAGGGATAAATACATGTGCTCACTCATATGTGGGAGCTAAGAGAGAAAGGAAGGAAGGAAAGAAAGACCATGGTAGTGCATTGGACTTACATTCTTAGGGCTACAAAGTGGAGTGGGGGCGAAGNGCATGAGGGGTGACAATTAGCTTTTTATCTCATGAATATTCATAGATAGATAGAAAGAAACAAACAAAGAAAGAGAGAGAGAAAGAAAGAAAGAAAGAAAGAGTCCAGAATATAGTTTAAAAAAAACAAAAAGAATGACTACACACTGTATGATTCCAACTTTATGACATTCTGGAAAAGGCAAAACTGTAGACATTACAATAAGATCAATGGTTACCGAAGTCTTGGGGAAAGGGGAGACATAAAGCGGTAAAGCACAGGTTCTTTTTAGGGCACTGAAACTATCCTGAATAATACTGTAACGAGGTACACATGCCACTGTGCATTTTTCAGCCCATAGAACTGTACAACACAGAGTAAACCCTAATGTGAACTATGGACTTTAGTTGAAAAACAGGTGTAAGTATCAATATCGATTTCGTTTTTCTGTAAACCCAAAACTGCTCTAAATCTTTTTAAAAATCATGATATGATGAGTTTTGTTACTACAAAACAAAACAGTAGTAACATTGAAAATTCCTAGCACGTCCAGAGCAAACTCGCGTTCAGACAGAGAGGAGGTGCGCAGTCACATCCACGTCTGCATGCGACGCGTTGTTAAACACTGAATTTGAATGTCCAACATCAGAGTCAGTCAACTTTGTTAGATCCTTGTCCTCCATGTGTGGAGTTCACATGTCCAAGTCAAGAAGCATTTTAGGTAAAAGGTGAACTACTTGACAACTTTCAATAAACAGCTAAAAGTTTGATGACTAAATGTAAAACAGTAGCAAGCAAGGCCTAAGCCGCCACTGTCGCCATCCCACAATTGCCTAAGCAAGCATCTCAGTGCCTTTCTCCTTTTCTTACAGGCCTTGCGATTGCCAGTGCCCTAATAGACATTTCACAACAGAAACCTTCCGATAGTAAAGACAAGACTTCTGGAGTCCGAAATCGAAAGCACCTCTCCACACGTCAAGGAACTTGTGTCTGAGAAATGGAAAACGCTCCTGTATATCCTGTAATGTTTTACTCTTTAAATGGCTTCCATTAAAGCTGTTCTATGACTCAGACTTTATGGAGGCAAGTCTCTGTATGACCCAGGGCCCGAATACAGTTCCCTCTAAATGGGCAATGATCCAA